CCTTTTCCCCAGCCGTATTCTTTCCCATAATTTGCACTAATCCCAGGAGCTCCACGGCTACTTCATTCATGGGAGGCCTTTCTTCACCTCTTAACGCTAAACATTTGTTTGCCAGATTGGCAACTTTTTCTACGATTGTCTCGAAATTATGTTCCTCCTTAACTAAGTCAGCATCAAGAATTTCAGCTAGCCGGCCCTCTTTCATTGCGCTAACAAAGACGTTTGCCAGGTTTTCTGCCTCATTTTTTTTCTTGATTAGTGCCTTTTTGCCTGTGAGTAGCTCCGCTAGGACAACTCCAAAGCTATAAACATCACTCTTATCTGTTAGAATGTGTGACTGAAGATATTCAGGGTCCAAGTAACCAAGCGTCCCTTGCACCAAAGTTGCTAGTTGATTTTGATCTTCCAGAACCAACCGTGAAGCCCCAAAGTCTGCTACTTTAGCCACATAATTCTTGTCCAGTAGTATATTCATTGCTTTCACATCTCGGTGTATTATTGGATTTGAAATGGAGTGATGCAAGTACGAGAGAGCTTCTGCAGTACCTGATGCTATCTTCAACCGCGATTCCAACGAAAGTTTTTCTTTTCCGTCTTTTCCATGAAGGTGATCATAAAGAGTGCCATTGGAGATGAACTCGTAAACGAGAATAGGTGTTTGGGTCTCTAAACAACAACCAAGGAGCTTCACAACATTTTTATGGTTGATTTGAGATAGAAGAATCACCTCGTTAGCAAACTCCAAGCTGTCAGTAATTGGGGCACTGACTTTGGACATTTTTATGGCAACCTCTCTTTTATCTGCAGGCAATGTACCTTTGTAAACTAGTCCATATCCTCCTTCACCAATCTTTCTCTTTTCATCGTAATGGTCTGTCATCTTCTCCAGTTCTTCTTCAGAAAAGATTGAGGCTGTCTCTATGGATCCATTGTATCGAGTCAGTTGTTGTCGTAAAAGTAAGCCCCCATTTTGTTTAAAGAACTTTTCTTGTTGTTTCTTGAACTTTCTTCTCTTGACTCCGCAATATATCCAAAAGACTAAAACCAGTAAAACTAAGAAGCTCAGACAGACACCTGCAAAATCCAAGTCAAACTTGCTTTTTATATATATGACATGGTGGGACTATTATCACAATGAAATTGATTATTCAATTTTTTATTATTATTTTTAATTATATTATTACTGGTCAAATAAAAGCAGCTTATTGTAATTTTCTTAGACAAACGTGTTGACCTATTTATGAACAAGTGTATAACATGTATGCCTGTTAATTACGATACATATTATATGTAAATAGCAGCTAGCAATATGAAATTATACCCAATGAAATTTTGAGGGCAGTGCTCTTTGTTCCGGGGATGCAGGTCTTGGGGTCGTGGTTTCTGTACCCACTATTACATTTACAATAGTAACTTCCATCTAGATTATGGCAAGTTCCATTGTCGCAGGGGTTTGAAGTCTCGCACTCATCAATATCTGAAACGGAAAGAAAAATAATCCCATGTCAAGCAATAAAATTAGGTAAGAATCAAGTTAATGATCAATAGTCAAGATTCACAATATGATGTTTCATATGTTGTGGCGATGTTGATGTATGAAATATTTGATTTATAAAAAAAAAAAAAAAAGAGAAGAAAGCATCATCAGTACCTTGGCAACCATCTGTGAGGTATGGATTCCCATGGTAGCCCTCCGAGCAATTGCAAATATAACCAGGCTTACCATGGACAATGGACCAGTCCACACACTTGCTATTTCCCTTGCATAAAGAATTATTGCTCTTTTCAACTACATCACACGGCTCATCCCCAACTTTCCAGTTTATGACCACCGGAAGCTGCTTGTTGTTGCTGAGCTGTTGAAAACTTGTATTGGGAGCATAAGTAAACTTGGAGTCTTCCACAAGGAAGGCGTAGTTGCACGGGTACTCCTCGTAGAACCATTTCGTTACATTCCTGTTCTGCTCCCCAAAGCTATAGTAAATCAGGGTCATCTCAAAGACTACCAATCCACCAACGAGGCCAGATTCGGTGCAAGCAATGCCGGAGCAAGTGTCGGGAACTTCGTTGTCGCTTGTTAAAATATTGTCGCATGCCGCCACACTGTAGCCCTGGGTGGATTTTGTTTTATCTGAGGTAGGGTCTGCGATCTGCAAATCCAAAAGTGCAAAAGCTTCACAGCCAATGACAAACAATTTGTTCTTGGTTTCGGAGATGGTGTAAAGAGGAGGCAGCATCAGGTAATATACGTTGTTGCTGGTGCTGTTGCTGGGATTACCAAGGGCGTCATGACAGTTATCGGCTGCATCATGTGCTATTTGCAGCTCAGCCTCATCAAAGTAGAAGTTAGTAATGCTCAAGTTGTTTCTGGTCAAGTATGTTGGGTGTGTGCTGGCTTGGTTGCATGTGATGTTGAATTCGGGTCGGAGGTAACAGCCGTCACCTATGCCAAATGGGTAGGGGATTGTGAGATTACCGCATTTCTCTGGGCACCCAGGCTTGGCTTGAGGCAGCAGGGCTTGAGCTGCTGATGCTATTGGTGTAAATATTGCCGCCCCTAATAGCACAACCATAGAGAGTTGCACAATAATAAGCATGCTCCCAAGTAAGGCCATGGTTTGCACCACTTGATTTTTCCTTGTACTAAGAATTGGTTTAATGTTTTAGGGAGGGAATTAATAAATAAATAAAAAATGTCTTCCTGGTGTGTACGGATTGGTAAAATACTCGGTCAAATAAATAAATAATATTTTTCCTTCATGGGTCTTTTTCTTTCTTGATTGCTGGTACCGTGTAATGACCAAGTCATTAAACAAATAAATGACCAAGTCCACGCAATAATCAAGAAAATTAGAAATCGTGGACCTGATTAAGTCGGAATTAGTATAAATAAATGCAAGAAAACATCCGAATCGATAAATAGTCAACAGGCGACGGTAATTTCTCGACGGCGGGGGCGAAGTGAAGTAAAGTAATTTTATTAGAGTTGGTTTCTTTTTTCTTTTAAAATTAGAAATAAGAATTGCTGAAAAGTTTTTGTGATGTTTAAATGAAGGAAAAGGTTGACCGGTAAACCTCCAAGAACTTATCAACCTTTACTGGTTTCTAGAAAATTAAAAAAATGGTAGACTTCAAATCGCAACACACACTACAGAAAAAAGTAGTCACAGTCACTATTATTTGATGACATTTGTTGGGTATGTATTAAAAAGTGTCAAAATATAAACAAAGAGAGAGAGAGTCTATATTTCAAAAAGCTGGGCCCAAAGTCCAAAACCAAACAAATAATGGGCTCGTTACCGAGTCCAACTAGATATTTGGGCCCAAACAAAGAAAATCCAATTTCTCTCTCACATATTCTTTTCCTATTCAAAACGAACCGTTTTCAACTTTTTATTAGATTTTTTCTTTTATTCTTTTGAATCAATTCCTCTCCAGAACTTGGAAGGGGAAAATTGCGAGCATCCTGTTCGAGGGTTTCTGGTCTGCGCGTTTCAGCGGTTAATCTCTCAGGTAAAATCTCATTTTGAATATTGAGCATCTTAATTCAGTGAAGTTGAATATCAATTTCAATTAAAATTGAAATTATTTATATGTCCCATTGCTAAGTCACCATCTAATTAGCTAATTAGATGATTAGTTAATGGAGGAATTTCATCTGTGTCTGGACCAATATTAGGATACAAGAAGGTAGGGGTTATAAATTAGCCCTGAAATACTACTGTGAAGAGGAAAGTTGATCCCTTTGAACCGAATTTTTTTTGGGTGATAGTATTTGTGCTGCACTTTATGCTATCGTTCATGAATTTAGTTTTGTTTTAGAGGCCCTTAATTTTTCCCTTTTTGGAAGTTCCCTATTTAAACATTGGAGTACCATTGTCAATTTTGTTCACATTTGAATAGAGTTTCAGTATGTTTTTGATATATTTTAAACTTGGTTTTAAATATTGTGGGTATGAGATTCTATGGGCTCCAGCCTCCACTTGTGTTGTGTCGTTGCTAATTGGGTTTTGTGGAAACTTCAATCCTATGGTTCGATCTTTAGCATTTTAATTCAATGAAGTTAGTTTCAATTTCAGTTAAGTTGGACGTTTCGAAAATGACCTTCTTGAAAGCCATCTTCTTGGTTGAATGGAAATAGAGATAACAGAAGCTAGGGGTTACGACTTAGCACTGAAGTACTGTGAAGAGGAACGTTGCTCCCTATGAACAATTAAGATTTGGTGATAGACCCTTAACTCTGCCCTTTTTTGAAGTTCCCTGGTTCAAGATTGGATTACCCAATTTCAATTTTGTTCTCATGTTAATGGAGTTTAAGAATGTTTGATGAAACGAAGAAGCTTATTCCCTAATATAGTTTTTGGATGACCTCTTGGCTCTTTTAGTTTGATGATTGGTATTTCAATTATTTTGTTATTCGATCTACATGCCTTTGTCATTTAGGAAAACATGAAATTAATCATGTCTTGGTGACCTGTATATCTGAAAGTTTATGCCAAGATAGAGTTGCCACTGGTTGCATGAAAGGGGAAGAACATGGCATTAAGTGTCATTGGTTGAGAAGGGGGAGGGATATTACTTGTGCATATTGTGGGGGACAAATCAAAGTCAACATGTTTATCTTCTTAAGTTCACATTGCACAAATTCAATTCTTTGTGCATCATGATTGAAACGAAAAGCATGTGCTACCTCAGTCTTGATTGTTCATGTGCACTAAAGCATGAAATTACTTTTGGCTTCCCTACAGTATTTGTAAACTGTAGAACTTGGAAATCTCTTAGCCGTGGAAATGGTTTCGTGTGGGTTGGGGTGTGTGAACCATACTAATCAGGCCGCCATATAAGCAATGGTAAGTCATAATTAGCTCTTAATCAAGAGAATGCAGTCCAATTTTGTAAATTCGTAACTTCTTCCTGAAATGTTTTCCTGCTTTAAAGGCTTTCCTTAGCAAAAGGGGGAAGGGAGGTTTTTAAAATGCCTTTGTAGCTGTTCCTGGACTTTTGCTAGGTTTGCCCAGTGGATTTTGAAAGAAAGGTTAAGGTGATTTAAGTTTATTTTCATATAGAAAATGTCATAGAACTTACATTTGCGTTTCAATGGTGAAGTTTTTCAGCAGGCTTTCTACTCCGAATCAGCAGCTTATGCAAGACACTGACCGAACCAAAGCAAATGTTATGGTGTTTAACAGTACTTAATTCCTAAAGCTTTGGATGGGTGGCAATGTAGTTGTTTGTCGCTTAATTTACAACAATGTGTTTATTCCGTGTAGTTTTGGAAATGGTGTTTATTACATCTATTGTAGTGAAACTTACCCAAATGAGAAAGGGTGCTGGGGGAATTTGGCATTAGAAATCAAGCCTGTCTAAGTATTTTATATATGCACATTCTTTTCATAAAACCAAAAAATAAGCTTTAGTAAAATCTGTACAGAGAGAAACCACTCAAGATTACCCAAATCAACGTGTTTTGGGTAAAGAAAAACACTATAAAGGCACAGGAATGGGGCTGTTCAAATTATCCTTGGATCTTTAGTGACGACTTCGATAGCCGCTTCTAAACGGTAATTTTGCGATGGCTAACGGCGAAACAAATCGCCGCTAAATGATGTTTGAAAAATATCCACCTTAATTTCGTCACGAAATGTCCATGAAACGTTGCAAGTCGCCGCAAAAGACCTGAAACCGTGGTTTAAAATTAGATGACCTAGTTTTTGCTGACTGAACTGTTTTTCCATCTGTAAATCTGATTCTGACTTGGGTCCGAAGTTCACAGTCCAATCAAGAATGTTGTTTTATAGCGGAATACTGCTACATGTATTGAGAAACGAATAATGCAGTTTACCAAAAGTTCGTCTTTAGACATTTGTAATTCAGATCCAACTCATTCCATAGACATTTGCAAAATCATCTTGAACTGACAAGTGACAAATTCCTAACTGATATAACATGTAAATACTGTGTGCTCATCTTGAGTTCAAAGAATCAATAAACCAATAAGACCAACAAAGAACAGGATATACATCTAGTATATATTTATGCACACACAAAAAATATTTACAAGAGACAATGAACAAATTAATAGTGGTTTAGATTCCTTAAACTACATCATTAGACGCTAGCGACATGAAGTCAGTCAACTATCGTCCATCATACGGCATTACCATTTGGATTTGAATGCTATCGTACCCACTGGTTGTACCAATAGTTGCACCTCTAGAACCAAAATCACCTCTAACATCCACAAAATAAGCGTCTGAATTCATAGCTGAACCAAGTAAGTACTCAGTGTCTTCTGGACTTGAAACTTCAGATTTTCCCCATGGTTGCTTTGGTGTAACTCTCATTCCCTCTAGCTCCATTGCTACTTCTTTCATGCTAGGCCTGTCCTGCCCTTTTAACCTTACACATCTTTTTGCGACTTCTGCCACCTTTTTTAGTGTCTCAACGTTTCTCTCGTTGACTATGTCATCATCAAGAACCTCATTCAAGCGATCTTCCTCCATGAAACGAACAAAGAAGTTTGCTAGGTTTCTGTCCTCCTCGGGCCTGGCGAATGAAAGTGCCACTTTGCTTGTCAATAGCTCCATAAGGACAACTCCGAAGCTATAGACGTCACTCTTTTCCGTCAGTTGATTTGTAAGGAAGTATTCGGGGTCTAAGTATCCAAATGTTCCTTGCACTAACGTTGTTAGTTGAGTTTGATCTAGAGGGATCAATCTTGAAGCTCCAAAGTCGGACACTTTTGCCGTGTAATGTTCATCCAATAGTATGTTTGTTGCTTTCACATCTCGGTGGATAATTTGCATGAGAGCAGAGGAGTGTAAGTATGCTAGTGCTCCTGCTGTTTCTGTCGCTATATTCAATCGCAGCTCCCATGAAAGTGATGATCTTTTACCAATTTTTTTATGGATGTGCTCAGAAAGAGTGCCCTCAACGATGAACTCGTAAACCAGTAATGGCGCAGGTGTCTCTAAACAACAACCTAATAACCTCACCACATTTCTGTGCTTGATTTGAGAAAGAACAATCACCTCATTAATAAAAACGTCACTCTGAGCTGGCGCACCATTAACTTTTGACTTCTTTATGGCAACCACGCTTTTATCTGGTAATATTCCTTTGTAAACCGTTCCATAGCCTCCTTCACCAAGGATTCTACTTTCGTGGTAGTTGTTAGTGGCCTTCTCAAGTTCTTCTGCTGTAAAGAGTTTTGTTGTTTCCATAGAGCCTCCTTGACTAGCGAGTTGTTGTTTTAACAATAAGCCACCATTTTCTTTGAAGTATTTCTCTTTGAGTTTGATGAACTTTCTTTTCTGCATACCCCAATATATCCATAAACTTCCAACCACTAAAAGCAAGAAGCCTCCACTGGCACCTGCCGATTAAATAAAATTTCTTTTTTAGGATAAAGGTTTTCATCAAAGTGATATATTACGAACAAAAATGAGTATCACAATTAAAATTTGGTATTGAAATGCCTATGACGCGTGTTAACATGTAAATTAAAATGCTTACCCAATGAAATACCGAGCAGGAGAATAATCTTTGATCGATTGTTGTCTTTGATGCAAGTCTTTTCATTCATGCCATCATTTTTGTATCCTTTGGGACATTTACAAGAATAATTTCCCAGTGAATTTATGCACTTTCCAATACTGCAGGCGTTTGAATTCTCGCACTCATCAATATCTGAAAGTCAGTGAGGAAAACCAATGGTAAAAACCCAATTTTAGCTTTTCTAGTAACAACTTTATAAACAAAAGATATGCTTTCTAATGAGAATCAAAAGGGATTGCTTAGGGTAAATCCTCAATCCGATCGACGCTCCGAGCCATCCATTTGTTAAAGAATTCATTTAGGATCATCCATACAAAACAAATATCACCGAATCATCATAAAGTATTTAGCTATATGACTATGATCAAATTAATATAAAGACAAATGTTATGATCACTAAAAGTGTTCTTGATAATAACAATCAAATGGTTAAAATAAATTCATTTTATCTTCTTTTTTGGCAGAAGTAGTATTCTTAGATGGGATATTCTAAAACCTTAGATGGTTATGGAAACACTGAAACACATACCTTGGCAACCATCTGGGTGGTATGGATTCCCATGGTAACCTGGCATGCACTTGCAAATGTAACCTGCAGACCCAACAGTAGTACAGTTGCTATTTCCCTTGCATGCAAAACCTTCGCTCTTTTGAGCTGCATCACATGACTGATTCCCAATTTCCCAATTAAGAGCCGCGGGAAGCAAGGTTCTGTTGTTGAGCTGTTGAAAACTTGTACCATTGAATTCGAACTGGCCATCTTGCACAATAAACGAGTAGCTGCAGGGGTTGAAGTCCCAAATACCCGTGTGATTTCTAAAGCTTTTCAACGTGACCGTCTGATTCTTTAGCCCGCTAGGGATGGAAGTTTGGCAGCAACCAACGCCAGAGCAAGTGTTCTGCCCGTCAACAGCGTTGTCTAGACTATCACATATGGACATGCACCCCGTCGTGAACTTCTGGTCCTCTCGGTAGCCGCTGAAAAACGAGTAAGTGTCGCAGCCAAGGGCGTAGAACTTGTTCTTGGTATGAGAGATGGTGTAGGGAGGAGGCACCCACAGCCTGGGGACGTTGCGGCCAGTCGGGTTGCCCTGAGCGTCGTAACAGTCTTCGGCAACGTACTGAAGTATTTGGAGCTCACCCTCCTCAATGGAAAAGTTGGTGATTATGATATTGCTTGTCAACAACTGTACTTTTGGGTGCTGGGAGGATTGGTTGCAAGTGATGTTGAATTGGGGTTGGAGGTAGCAGCCAGGGCCTATGCCAAAGGGATATGGGATTGAGAGATTGCCACAATGGTCTTGGCAGCCAGGGAGGGCTTGAGCTGCTGTTGGAATTGGAGTTGCTAATAACAATATCACAACCAAATCCGCCACTACCACAGAGAGTTGAAGAATAAGTAGCATCCTCGTATATGCTACAAATTGTGTTTATGTTTTGGGATGGTTTTTGAGTGTGAAGAAAACAGCCAACAAGCCTGTTCTTTTATGTGGAAGGAAATTAAGACGCGTACTGGCACATTGGGTTAGGGAAAATTGTCTTCCTAATCTTAATTAACTGCCATTTGTCTCTGTTAATGTTTTTCTTTTTCACCCCAAGTAGGCCTCGTCCCCTGTTATTTTCAGGAATTAGTATAAAGAAATGCAATAAAACATCCGACTTGGAAACTAGTCAACAAGCGACGGCGGGGGGCGAAGTCAAGTCAAGTAATCTTATATATGGCACGAAAGATTGCCGATGAAGACCTAGCTAGTTAACTTGGGGAGAAATAAAATACATTAATAGAAAGAAGTGAATTTATTTGTTTGTTTACTTGATATTAATCAAATCATGTTTTTTTTTAAAATAAGAGATTTTTAAACAAGAAGGAAAAGGTTGACCAGTAAACCTCCAAGAACTTATCAACCTTCACTGGTTTCTAGAAATATAAGAAATTGTAGATTTGATTAAGTCGGGTAATTTTTGATCAAAATGAATTACTGGGTCAACTTTGACCAAACATTAAAAACTTTTGATCCTAAATTCTCAAGTGATCATATATCACTGGCAGAAAGACATCTTGAATTCATAACATATCCATACAAACCAATAAGACCATCAAAGAACAACATATTGGTTTATTTCTAGAATACATCACAACTAGACCCTAGCAATCGATTATCGCCCATCACCATATGCCATTAACATCTGGATTTGCATGTTGTCATATCCACTACTTGTGCCACTAGGATGACCACAATCTGCTGCTGTAACATCCGCACGATAAGCATCTGACTTGCGTGAACCAGGCAAGTGCTCGGTCTCTTCTGGACAATCAGCTTTCCCCCATGGATGCTTTGCCATAATTCTCATGCCTTCTAGCTCCAAGGCTGCCCCTTTCATTGTAGGCCTTTCCTCCCCTTGTAACCTCAAGCATCTTTTCGCGAGAATGGCCACATTTTTCAGAGTCTCAATATTTCCATCGTTGACTATGTCATCGTCAATAATATAATTCAAGCGATCTTCCTCCACTGAACAAACAAAGAAGCTTGCTAGGTTTCTATCTGCCTCAGGCCTGTCAAAACAAAGTGCTATATTGGAATATGTACAGAGTTATTTCCTTAATTTATTATTATGTTGGCTGAGTGGAGTTAGTTGTCTTGGGCTCTTCATGAGTGTAGCTTGGTACCTGATGTGTGCATTAATTGTTTTCAGTTGGCTGTTGTATGAGTTCTCTTTATGTACCAGGGAAGTTAATTCTTTGTTTATGATGAATAATAGTTTCTTTTTCCTTTAATTTCTACATGGTATTAGAGCAAGAGTCTTACTGATCAAAGCTTCTACAAGATCTCAGTT